AGCTGCTTTGGAGGCCGAGGCAAGAGAATCGTTTAAACCCAGGATTTGGAGGTTGACGCCACAGCACTCGATACTGAGAGTGACATAGTAAGACTCTGTCTCAAAAATAACATAAAATATCCCTATAGTTCAAAACAATGAAATACTACACAATAGTTAAAATGACTTACATGCATAAAAATGAATACAAAAACAATATGCCAAAAGGTAAGTTGTTAAATTCTAAGATGCAGAAATAATATGTGTTGCTTACATATGTGTACATACATTCCCTCATAGTTTAAGGGAACATGAGTTTTATTTGTTTAAAAAGAAAAGGGAGTTGGATAAAAATGTCCAAATGTTAATATCTATTTAAATGATAGTTACATTTCTGCTTTATTCTATAAAATGTTTCAAAGTTAAAACCAGAAGATTATACATCTTAGTTAAAATGACAGAATGATGTGTTAGCCTTTTTATGAAGTTAAAGTCATCTATGCTTCCATCTCATTCTAACGGTTTTGTTATGATTGTCATTTTCTGTTTTAAGATCACTTGAGAGAAAGAGTTGGGTAGAGGGAGAATACAGTGAAAGAGCTGATGATTCAAAATCGATAAACTGTTGGGTGCAGTAGTGCACATCTGCCGTCCTAGCACTCTGGGAGACTAGGGCAGGTGGATTGCTTGAGCAAGAGTGAGACCCTATTTCCTAGAAATAGAAACAATCAAAAACAGCCCAGCCCAGCACAGTAGTGCACACTGGTGTTACCAGCAAGAGAATCACTTGAGCCCAGGAGTTTGAAGTTAGTGTGAGGTAGCTTTATGCCACAACACTGTAGCCTAGACAGAGAGTGAGAGTCTGTCTCAAAAAACAAAAACAAAAGAACAAAATCAATAAACTTAAATTAGAAGTTAGGTACTATGGCAGACAGAATAATGCTTCCTCACCAAGGCTTCCACATGATTTCCAGAACCTGTCAATGTTACCTTATATGACAAAAGGTACTCTGCAGATGTATTTACAGTCACAGACCTGGAGATGGGAAGATTATCCTGGATTATCTGAGTGTGCCCCCTCTGATCACATCAGTTCTTAAAAGTAGAGAACCTTTTCCAGATAGAGTCAGAGAGATGCCATGTGAGGACTCAACCCACCTTGCTAACTTTGAAGATGAAGGGAAGCCACAAGCCAAGGAATGCAGCATCCTCTAAAAGCAGAAACAGCTTTCAGTTTATAGCTTATGAGAAAAGGATGACCTCAGTCTTAAAACCACCAGGAACTGAATTTTGCCAACAATCTGAATAAGCAGGAAACATTCTCCTATAAATCC